TACGACTGATTTAATCTTATTGTGTTTTTATATTTGATAAATAAATTAGTGCTGACAGGTAGTTTGTATTCACACGTTTCGACTTGTAAAATATGAACAAGAACTTAAAATGATTGTTTAAAAGAGCAACATACAAGTTTCTTGCTTATTCTTCTTGTGATGAGACAGCTTTCCGAATAAGCGGTAGATTTTAAAAAAATGTTGACTATTCAAAAGTGCTTAAATTAAGTTAATTTGAATAAATGATTTTCTATTCTATTCTATTCTATATATACATACATCATACATAATATAAATATAACAATAATTAAAAAGTAAATTTACTTAATTGCTGAATTATGTAAGGTCTTGTATCATTAGCTAACAAAAGAGAAGATCTAACTGAGTCTTCAGATGTTCACGTCCTCGGTAGTATAGTGGTTAAGCACATAATTTATTAAAAATAGTATATAATAATGGCAGACAGGAAGCAACAATGTCTATGATATGAGAGAAATGTAGGTTAGATATTTCTTTCGTATTTTAAATTTTTTTTTTATTATCACAAAAATTTACATTACATAATATTTAAATTGAATATATAATGAACGTTTGTTTTTTTTTATTATATTATTAGGGTTGGTAATGTGAATATTTAAATGTTAAATTTAGTTAATATAGTAATATAGTTAATTTTGCCCTTTTTTCTCTGAAAAATTTATATATATAACTCAAAGGTGACTGACGTAGTGATCTATCAACGCACAGCCCAAACCACTGGACGGATCGGGCTGAAATTTGGCATGCAGGTAGATGTTATGACGTAGGCATCTGCTAAGAAAGGATTTTGATTAATTCTACCCCCAAAGGGATAAAATAGGGGATGAAAGTTTGTATGAAACTGTGTCAATTTTATTTATTTTACTAAATATCATATCATAAATTGTGTACAACACAGCAACACCACCCCAGGTCCTGTGCTGTAAAATAGCGCTGCAGCGCTCCAGCCGCTGCAGCATTATGCTGAGCACGGACCTATTCAGTAGATGCTTTGACAAACATACACATATTACACACGTAATTTGGGTATATTTTTTTTTTAATTGTCGCACAGTTTGTTATTTTTTTTTGTTCGTCATAAATATCATTATATTTTTTTGTTGTGCCATTCTTCTTTATCGAGTTAAGAAGTATGATATCTACTATACTCTGTTATCTATACAGAGTAGATATCAGAACTAGAAACAAGTTTCAGCTCCTTGCAATTATTAACTACTAAAATGATCGGATGTTGCGTGTATTTATTGCGAAACGTAACAACTACAATAAATTGTTCAATTAGACTCCATTTGCGACTATTATGTACATAGAAGCATGTTATTTACTAAAGTAAATAATAAGGATAATTTTAATTTTTTGCTCACAAAAACTGAGCCCAATCTTGACATAATTAATGTTTAGGTTTTTTTTTATTTATTTAGGAGTTTAGGGTCAAATATTGAGATTGTTATATGTTATGTCTCATAGCTTCTAAATACATTACGTAGATTACATTTATATGACATACTAGCTGTTCCCGCGATCTCGTCCGCTTGGAATTTAACTTTATTTTTCTAAAATAAAAGTGACCTAAGTTACTATTCTATTCTATATATACATACATCATACATAATATAAATATAACAATAATTAAAAAGTCCTTATTACGTCAGCTACCTGCCAATTAAAGTACCGTCAAAATCAATCAGGTCCAGCGATTTCAGATATTAGCCGGAACAAACAGACAGACAGACAAAAGTTGTAAAAAATGTAATTTAACGTAATAATAAATTAAAAATATAATTGTACCGTACTTTTATTTATATGCATGTAGTAGTAAAAAACTGTTATTTCAATATTACAAACAGACACTCCAATTTTATTTATATGTATATATATAAACCTTCCTCTTGAATCGCTCTATCTATTAATAAAAACCGCAACAAAATCCGTTGCGTAGTTTTAAAGATTTAAGAATACATATAGGGACTCATAGCGACAGTGCCTTTGGTTTATACTATGTAACTAAGCTACTCGGCACGGTTTCGCGCGGGTGTACATGTATTATACATATAAACCTTCCTCTTGAATCACTCTATCTATTAAAAAAAACCGCTTCAAAATCAATTGCATAGTTTTAAAGATTTAAGGGTATATAGTAAGGGACGACAGCGACAGAGACTTTCTCTGTCGCTGGCTATTTATTTTTTTTTGTATTTAAAACTATTCAATTGGTTTTAAAGCGGTCATTTCAACATTTATATACTATATGTTGTATGTTTTATACTATGTAATGATGGTAATATCAACTACCACTGGATTATAACTTATTTATAATATAACCTTTCTTATACCTTGTATAATTGAGAAAATAATTAGGTCACAATCTGATCAGGTTTTCGCAAATGATACCAACTGGATTATTGCATACCACCTACATCACCTGTTTCAATTTAAATGATATCTCTACATTATACTTAATTAGTTATACTTATCAATTGATTACTATAATGATAATTAAAGTTCATTTAACATAATACATGTTAGACAATTTAGCATTGTTAGTGCAGGAATTGTTATTTTCAAATTATGTATATATTAAATTTAATTTAATTTTCGTTTATGTACATACTTGTAGGTTGGTTTTTTCATTTAGGTTGGTTTTTTCATTTTTAATATAATACATTTTATAGACAATTTAGCATTGTTAGTGGAAGAATTGTTATTTTCAAATTAAGTTATGTATATATTAACTTCAATTTAATTTTCGTTTATGTACATACTCGTAGGTTGGTTTTTTCATTTAGAGGTTGATTTAATATAATACATTTTATAGACAATTTAGCATTGTTAGTGCAGGAATTGTTATTTTCAAATTAAGTTATGTATATATTAACTTCAATTTAATTTTCGTTTATGTACATACTCGTAGGTTGGTTTTTTCATTTAGAGGTTGATTTAATATAATACATGTTAGACAATTTAGCATTGTTAGTGCAGGAATTGTTATTTTCAAATTATGTATATATTAAATTTAATTTAATTTTCGTTTATGTACATACTTGTAGGTTGGTTTTTTCATTTAGAGGTTGATTTAATATAATACATTTTATAGACAATTTAGCATTGTTAGTGCAGGAATTGTTATTTTCAAATTAAGTTATGTATATATTAACTTCAATTTAATTTTCGTTTATGTACATACTCGTAGGTTGGTTTTTTCATTTAGAGGTTGATTTAATATAATACATTTTATAGACAATTTAGCATTGTTAGTGCAGGAATTGTTATTTTCAAATTATGTTACATATGTATTAATATCAATTTAATTTTCATTTATGTATATAGTCGTTTCTTTCATTTAGAGCTTCATTTAATATAATACATGTTTGTTTAATTTATTCTCACTTTTTCATTTTCAATTTTTTTTGTAAGTTCACTTTTTCAATTTGATTACTAGTATCTTTACAAGCGGCTAAAATGTCCTACATCGGTGTTTCCCAAGTAGTGCAACTCATACCCCCAGGGGTACGTAAAGTTGCATCAAGGGGTACGTGTGGCTATCAGTAAAACAAACATACACACACATAAATTTTCACATTTGTAATATTAGTGTGATTGCTACAATGAGGGGTACGCAAGGTTTGAGGTCTTTTTTGAAGTGGTATTCAGCAAAAACTAATTGGGAACCATTATCCTACATGAATAAATTATTTTGGATTTGTTTTGATTTGTAAAAATTAATAAATTCCTACTTATGCTTACTAGATATTAACTTCTATTTAATTTTCATTTATGTAGTTCACTTTTTCATTTAATTTACTAATATCTTTATGTTCTTAAGCGGCTAAAGTGTCCTATATGCATAAATGGTTTTTATTTGATTTTATTTGATATGTCTAAACTAATAAATATCTACTTTGTCACATACATTCTTAATAGATATTAACTTCTATTTAATTTTCATTTATGTAGTTCTTTTTCAATTAAATTACTAATAATATTACTAATAAGTTAATAAGCGGCTAAAATGTCCTACAAGAATAAATTATTTTCAATTTCATTTGATTTGTAATTTTATTTTTGGATAATTTTACTCATTTTTCTCTTTAGACTCTAGAAGAAATATTTAAAAACGAGAAATTTATTATTTAACGTTTCTTTTTTATCATCAGTTATCAGGGTCCTTATTAAACTGATAATTACATTTATTCCTTTTATCATTTTTAATTATTCATTTGATAGTAAATTATTCTTTTAATCAATGAATTATTCATTACTTATATGTTATTTCTTTTAATTATGTCTTTTTTGTATTATTCTTTGTTTTTTTCCTCTTATGAGGGAGAGGACAAGTTTTTGCAGTAGGTATTAGTGGTACATATTTTTATAGGAACTTTATTGTTAAATTTACATCTGGCCCTTGTTATTAGAAGATATTATAACTAGAATTTCATACTTAGTAAGATAGCCTGATTGTTGAGAAAGATTGTGTTTTCTATTGATTTTGCTGTTGACATGTTGTAAGCATTTTACAAAATATACACGTACTAGCTGTACCGGCGATTTATTTAAGGATTTGTTAAATAAATATTTACGAAAACAGTTTCTTTAAAAATATTTGGACATATACTTTTAATTTGGGAATTAATTTCTTAGTTTTATTTTAGGATTATAATTACTTTGTCAAATTTCGAATAAAGTACGTAAAATTTTACTTTTTTGTGTATAATTATTAATTTATACCATAAAAATATGAATAATATTTTTTTTTCACCTGGAAATTATTATAATTTTCAATACTATAAAAATATATATCACCTATATCACATATCAATTCCTACAATCAAATACATTGGTAGATTATTAACATTTTCTATCAATATATAATAAAAAAAATATATTTTAAAAATTATTATTATAAAAATTAATATATAAAAAAATTAATTAACCAAAAAAAAATGTAAAAAAGAAATACTTACGCAGCGTTCCCGCAGATGCACCCGCAATGGTTATTAACAAAATACACAAGGACACACTCATTTTTTATATTATATAAAAATATATAAATTAAATATAAATTTAGGCTAACAGTTGGCAAGACGTGTAGCTTTCGACTGTTGGCTCGTTTGGTTACTATAGCCTTATATAGTGCTTGCGCAAGCCATGCGCTGTTTTGAATCGTGTGAAGCGACCACTGTTAATTGAACCCTCCCTTACATATATAATAATATATGTCCCTATATATGTTGAAGAATTTATAAATGATATTATTATATTAAATAAAATTGGAGTGTCTGTTTGTAATATGGAAATAACCGTTTTAATTACATGCATATGAAAATAAATACGGTACATACACCAGAATAATATTTTTTACAATTTTGTCTGTCTGTCTGTTTGTCTGTTTGTTCCGGCTAATCTCTGAAATGGCTGGACCGATTTTGATGGGATTTTTTTTGGCAGGTAGCTAATCTAATAAGGAGTAACTTAGGCTACTTTCATTTTAGAAAAATTCTATTATTTTAGAAAAATCAAGTTATATTCCACGAGGATGAAATCGCGGGTGCAGCTAGGTTTCAATAAAACCATTGTTATTTTTATAGAAAACTAGCTGTTTCTGCGACTTCGTCCGCGTGGAATTTAACTTTATTTTTCTAAAATAAAGTAGCCTAAGTTACTCCTTATTACATCAGCTATCTGCCAAAAAAAGTCCCGTTAAAATCGGTCCAGCCATTTCAGCGATTAGGCGGAACAAACAGACCGACAGACAGACAGACAAAAATAGTAAAAAGTGGTTTTTTGGTGTATGTACCGTATTTATATTCATATGCATGTAGTAAACAACGGATATTTCAATATTACAAACAGACACTCCAATTTTATTTATATGATATTTTTGGCATTTAGAAAAAAAAACAACGTAAACAAAAATAGTTTCTACAAAATAAAAAAATAACATGAAAGAAAACAAAAACGTTAATATCTTAAATTAAGTAAACAACGGATATTTCAATATTACAAACAGACACTCCAATTTTATTTATATGTATAGATATCTAACTTAAAAAGAAGAGGCAGGACATTGTCGACCACATACGGTCCAGGAGTAACCTGACATTGAGGGTGACGCAGCTGGCAGCTGGTGAATTTCTCACGATGGGCTAACTGACCCGACCTCATGTTCCTCTTATCATCCTCCACTGGTGCCCCGCCAGCGTACACTGTTAGCGCAGGCGGGACCACCATTCCATTATCATTACATAGTATAAAACAAAGTAGCTGTCGATCTGTCCCTATGTATGCTTAAATCTTTAAAACTACGCAATGGATTTTGAAGCAGTTTTTTTAACAGATAGAGTGATTCAAGAGGAAGGTTTATTTATAATATATGTACACCCATGCGAAGCTGGAAGTAGCTATATATATATAAAAATATATAGTAGTCATATATATGGGGAGCATGGTATATCAAGTTACACTGAGTATATGGCTTCTTTTCACTTACAAGAGATTTAGAATAGAATAAGTTAGTAATTCGTTTTATGGTAATTGCGTAAGGTTTTACAATAAAATACCAGAGTCTGTTATAAATCTGCCAGAAAAAAGATTTAAATGTCAAATAAAACAGTTCCTTTGCAAAAAAGCTTACTATAAAATTGAAGAATTCGTTAACGATAATAATGTTTTTATAGAAAAACTTTAAATCCATAGCACTGACAATATTATCTGATTACATTAATAATGAGTGCGTAGCGACTTCTATGTTGATTATCACGTGCCTCTTACTTGTTATACTGTAATTATTTATATAAAAAACATCTATTAAAAAGAGCAACACACAAGTTTCTTGCTCATTCTTCTTGTGATGAATCTGCATTCCGAATGAGTGGTAGAATCAAAATATGACTATTCAAAAGTGCTTGTAATGAGTTTATTTGAATAAAGAATATTTCTATTTCTATTTCTAATAGAATAGAATAATATTTATTACAGCTTGTTTTGTTTTTGGTTTGTGCTTTTACATCAGTTAACATTTCTTAATTAATCAAGATCAATTATATTGTTTAACAGAGAGTTTTGTCTTCTCTTTCTACTTTTGTCTTCTTTATATAGTTTATTTATTTCACACGCGTGAAATTTACATATAGCCTATATGTTCTTCTGATGTTTAATCTATATTACTAAAGTTTCATCAAATTTCGTTCAGTTTTTTGCGTGACAGAGTAACAAACATCTATTTATCACAAATTTCGCGTTTATAATATTAATAAGATATAGAAACATTGTTCACTTACTTTATCACCCTGTGGGCAACACATAAATAAATCTGTTAATTGTCAAATCTATAACGTTGACTACACAACGGATTTTAATATAGTCCTACAGTGATTTAAGAGTACCTATTATTTTTATATATGTAACTAGCTGTACTCGCGAACCGTTGGGTTAACTTTATTTTTCTAAAACAAAAGTAGCCTAAGTTAATTACATCAGCCAAAAAAATCCTGTCAAAGTCGATCTGGCCATATCAGAGAATAGCCGGAACAAACAGACCGAGACAGACAGACAAACATTATAAAACATATTATTTTGTTGTATGTACCATATTTAAATTCATGGGTAGTAAAAATGCCCCTTTGCCCAGGCACCAATTGGCATCAACCCTTGGGTTACTAGGTTGGCGAACACCCTCAAGGGGGTGAAGGTTGGAATCTTGGGGCCCCATTGCCCAGGCACCAATTGGCAACAACCCTTGGGTTACTAGGTTGGCGAACACCCTCAAGGGGGTGAAGGTTGGAATCTTGGGGCCCCTTTGGGCAAGCACCAATTGGCAACAACCCTTGGGTAACTAGGTTGGCGAACACCCTCAAGGGGGTGAAGGTTTGAGTCTTGGGGCTCCTATGCCCAGGCACCAATTGGCAACAACCCTTGGGTAATTAGGTTGGCGAACACCCTCATGGGGGTGAAAACAACCCCCGTGGATGATAATAACACCCGCCTGCGCTTACGGTTTACGCTGGCGGGGCACCAGTGGAGGATGATAAGGTGAACATGAGGTCAGGTCAGTTAAAAAAAAACTAAATAATTATATAGTTTTTAATATATATAGTAACTTAAGAAGTAGTGTTATACTCGGGGACATATTTTTTCCTTAACTATAACGTACAACGTATGAAATAAATTTCAATGACATCGCGTTCATGGTTTTGTTAAGTTTCCATAGACAAGATTTGTTTCCCTGACAACAAATCCCGCCAATTTATCATTTTATTCAATATATATATATATATATATATTATATAGTTTTTAATATATATACGAGATAAAAACATACTGTATATTTTTACACTTTTTGAAATAAATCGTTCATTTGGCGACAGAATATAAACGATTTTATAAAGTACAATAATGAGTATATCCATGAACGTCGTTTAATGATTAATCATTATGTTTTAATACATTCGTTTTTTTTCCATAAACCACCTACTTAATACTACTTACGGTTACAATTAAGTAACAATGTTATTACTACTTGAAATGCTTGAGTCGTTATTTAAAGATTAACTGGTTATTTGATCATTCCTTGATTATATTCCGGGTTTTATACACGTTTTTTTTTCTTATAGAACCGTCGATTTTGGTAGTCTAGCGGTTTATCGCGTCGCCTTATTTCCGATGGTCGCGGGTTTGATTCCTCGCACGTTACAAATGTTTGAATACGTGAGTGTGATTGTTTGTATTGGTTGGTTTATGTATTGGTTATTTCTATGCATACTACTACTAGAGGTTGGTGATAGAAGGGTGAAAATTTAGGGTTGTATGTATTTTTTAATGACATATAATAAAAAAATATAAATAAAAAATTATGTTAGGGGTGGACAACCCTTATCACTTAGGGATATGAAAAGTAGATAGTAGCCGATTTTTAGACCTACTGAATATGCATATAAAATTTCATAAAACTCGGTCAAGCCGTTTCACAGGATTATGGTAACTAACATTGTGACACGAGAATTTTATATATAAGATATATCTTCTTCTATCTTCCATATGTATACATAAAAATTAATTGCTGTTCTTTGGTCTCGCTAAAACTCGAGAACCGCTGAACAGATTTGGCTAGATTAGTCTTGAAATATTCGTGGAAGTCCAGGGAAGGTTCAAACGGTGATAAAATATGAAGAAATTGCATGTGAAATAATAAAAACAACAATTTTATTTTCCCATACAAACTTCTGGCACCTGTCAAACAGGGAGCGTTCAGAAATTTATTACGTAACTAAACTTCAAAAAACCTTTGACATATATAATTTAGAGGCTCAACAGAGTTCGCGCCATCAGCTAGTTGACAATAAAAAATGCACGTAAATATTTCTAACAATTGTCCAGTATCCAAAACACAAGCATAGCCTGAGACTATATGTCGATGTATGAAATAGAAATAGAAATAGAAATAGAAATAATCTTTATTCAAATAAACTCATTACAAGCACTTTTGAATAGTCATATTTTGATTCTACCACTCATTCGGAATGCAGATTCATTACAAGAAGAATGAGCAAGAAACTTGTGTGTTGCTCTTTTTATTAGATTTTTTTTGTTGCTCTTTTTATTAGATTTTGACAGTACAACAAGTATGAGGCATGCGATAATCAACATAGAAGTCGCTACGCACTCATTATTAATGTAATCAGATAATATTGTCAGTGCTATGGATTTAAAGTTTTTCTATAAAAACATTATTATCGTTAACGAATTCTTCAATTTTATAGTAAGCTTTTTTGCAAAGGAACTGTTTTATTTGACATTTAAATCTTTTTTCTGGCAGATTTATAACAGACTCTGGTATTTTATTGTAAAACCTTACGCAATTACCATAAAACGAATTACTAACTTTAGCCAAGCGACATTTAGGTAAAATCAGTTTGTTATTGTTACGTAAGCTTTTATTAGTGCAATCACTAACTCTTTTGAAACTGTCTATATTCCTTCTGGCATAGATGATATTTTCATAAATGTATTGAGAAGCAACGGTGAGGATATTTGATTCCTTAAAACACTCTCGCAATGACTCCCTGGAACCCATACCGTAAATGG